GTTTATGGTTCAAGATTGATCATTGAAAATATGATTTTCTAAATAGGGAATACGATTCCCARTTGAAGGGAGAGATAAAATTTTTGAAATTCGCCCCTTATTCCGCAATCTTTTGGGCGTCCATAGGATGGATCTCTCATCCCTTCACTTTTGCCTATAACCTTAACTTATTAGCTTTGTTTAATGATTTGGGACAAGACAATAACTTAAAAAGGTGTGCCTATGCTTCTTTTATCATTTCATAAAATATTATTCTATATTTTGCCTATGTCTTCCCACGACTAAGAGTTGCTCTAATATATTTTGGTAATTGTATAACTACTGAATGGAAAAGGGAAATAGAATACAGAATAAGATAATGGATTACTTGTAAAAGAGTGGACACATGAACTCTTAAAATAAATATAATGAATTAGAAGACCGTATGTGCTAGTAATTGATAGACATGACTAAGAAGTGATGCGGGTGCAAAGATCCCAAAGTTATGTAGCGGACACTTGAACTCTTGAAATAAATAGAATGAATTAGAAGACCCTATGTTCTAATAATTGATGGACATGATTGTGAAGTGATGCAAGTACAGAAATCCCAAAGATATGTAGTATTTTGGAGAGCATGAGATTTTTTTTATTTTTTTATGAATAATTTGGAAAGCATGGCCTTCCGGGTCAACTCCATTTGGAGTGGAGCCTTTCCTCCCAAGTAAGGTCTCTTTTGGTGAGAGGTGACCATTTGAAAATCAATACTTGTGAGACTTTTCAAGAAAAAATACCTAATTGGTGCCTTTCACCTTTCTTTCTTTGTGATGCAGGCATAGAATCTACATTCCATTCCACCTACTAATCTCTTATCCATATACCTTCTGTATTTAGGGTTGGGGTTTTACTCTCTTGGGAGGTAGATTGTCCCCACCTGATGACTTGGAATGCTTATTTAAGACTTCTTTAATCAATGTAAGAGGTTGGCAATGGGATGCAATATCCAACTTCCGAAGATTGAACTGCTGAGCAAATGGGGATGAGCGACAACAGTGAACAATGACTTTCGAGCTGAGATTGAGATCAGAAACTTGGTTTTGATAACTGTGACAGTTCTAGATCCAATGTCAAGTTTGACGAAGGTTGTGTCAGTCAAGGAAGTAGGCAAGGTGGGAGAAAGGTTGGAATTTCTAAAGAGGTGCTTAGTAGGTAGGTTTGTTCACTCAGACCTTGATATAAGAGAGGTCAAGGATTGGGCGAATGCTGAGTGGAGAATCCTAAGCTTCTCCTATGTTCGAAGGATGGGAGTGTCTCTTTTCCTCTCCAGCTTCAAGTGAAGAGAAGACATGGAAGAGGCTTTAGCAAGGGAAAGGATTGGGAGAAGAAGGAAACCAGAAGTTTTCTTCAGTAGTTGGTCATCCTATTTGGGAAAGGATATAGAGAAAATAAGATTCACATGGATTGACGTATATGGGATTCCATTACATGCATGGAGTACAGAGGTTTTCAAAGTTATTGGAAATATTGCCGGAAGTTTTAGGAGATTTGATTTTAGGAATAGAAGATGGGAGAACTTAGAGTTTGCAAGGTTTCTAGTTGAGACCGAGGATGACATCTGTGCTAGATCTATTTTACTTGGATGAGGCCTTTAAACTTAGGATTGTAGTTGCTGGTGAAGACCATAGTTTTCAAGGCACCAAGGCGAGGCTAGGCGACAGGGGGGCGCCTTGTCGCCTAGTCGCCTAGGTGGGCGCCTAGGCGATGGATTTTTTTAAGTAAAAATCACATATCCTAGGGTACCAACTTTCTTTAATAACTATCCATTATAAACTTCATGTTTATGTCTAGAAAATTAACATATTTATGAGAAAAAAAGAAGGGAAAGAAAATTCAAAAAATATAGGGGCTGAACCTATTTTTGTTGTAGGAAAAGAAGAAAAGAAAAGGTGGAAGAAGAAGGAGAAGAAGATGTGGAAGAAGAAATGTGTTGATTAGACAAAATTTTAAGTTCCTCCCTTATTGGTTCAGATTTTGAAGTCATTGAGGGTTCAATACAGCAGTTAGCAATGTTTGTGTTGATTAAACCCTAACAAATAAGAAAATAATAAGAAGAAA